AAACAATAGTATAACAAATCCCAAGTACTCATCTCCAGCTTTTAATAATTTTCAATACTCTGCCATTTCAATCCTAATCATCTCAAAATTTATCAGCGGACCACCCCACCACCATCCATTTTTACTGTTTTATTGTGGGGGTGGGAAGGGATGGTACTTTAACATAAACCCAGGCATCATTTAACCCACAAATACTTTAATATTCTCCTATATTCTCCCAGAAATATTTTCTTAGGAACCCAAGCCCGCATCGACTTCTTGCTTTAAATCTGAGAGTGACCTTTTGGACCCTAATTAGCTCGTTAAGATTCACCAGTCCTCATCAAATGCGGAGATTGAAAATGAGGGACACCTTTTGTCTTTCTGTTGTATCTCCCATCACCCACGGCGTGTGCGCAGTGACTGCTGGGTTGTAAGAGACCATTTGGGGGGAGAGACCTCACCTTCAATGTGTCGAATTCCTTCTCCAGGTAGGACCCACATTTTTCTCTCTCCCCAGTGGAGGCAAAGAACTTGCTCCACCAATCGATGAACTCCTCCTCCTGAGGGGCAGATACAAGAGAGGGTTTAAGAAAGAGAACGGCCCAGCGAGGTCCTTCTGAATCTCAGCTCCTTAGCAAGGCGGCCTGAGGGAGCACTCTTCTAGAGGGAGCCTGGGGAGCAGAGAGCTGGACCCTCCCACCCCTCAAGGGGCAAAGGCCACCCAAATGGGAGAAGGCTGTGTGACACGGGGTGGCCGTGCTAGCCCGGGGCCTGTCCCCGACTCCAGATGTGACTCTATTAGGCTTGTGCGGCCTCCTTGATCTTTCCTGTGAAGCGGACCTCACAGCCCCCTGCCTTCCAGGGCTCCAGGAGGCTAAAGGCAGGGGGCTCCTTAAGGTAACTCTTTGGGGAATGTCTCTATAACGTATCAGTGATGAATAGAACACAGTAGGCCAGGAAAACACAGACCTCGGCGTGGCCCTGCCTCCCACCGACCCAGCAGAAAGCAAGCGGCAGGAGTCAGGACTCCGCTTCTCACAAGGTAGAGTCCTTAAAAACCAACAAAGCTGGGTCATCCGTCAGAGGGGATATTAAATATGGCTACGGGGGGAGGGGGAGGGTGCGCAGAAAAAAAGTTTGTGACAACATGCTCTGCCTTTCTCTTCCTCCAGAACAGGGGGTTCTATTTGCAGGAGAAGGTGGGCAAGGAGGCCCGTGGGAGCACCTGGGACTCCTTCTGAGGACATGTATCTCACCTGCGCCTCCACTGTGTGCGCAGGGTGTGTGCCTCATTGCCTGGGCAGTTAGCAAGCTCCCTGACCATGGACGGACACTCCTCGCCAGCCCACCCACCCAGGCTGAGTGCCTGGCCTACGTTTCTCAGCACTATTCAAATACTCTCCTCCTCCGGCTGAGGGGTTGGGTTAGGAGATCCCCACGTCCCGTCCCCCCCAAACCTTTTAGAATTGACAAGCTCTGTCAGATGCACTGAAAGTCTGTCTGAGAGTTTCTGAAAACAGTTGTAGCTCCCTTTCAACCACTGCTCAGAAGAGGTCAGATGGGTTAGGGCGCTGAGTAGCAGAGCTTTCTGGCTTTATCAAAGCAGAACCCAGACCCGGTGTCTTACATTCCATTTCAAGAAGCAGAGACTGTACATACACAGACATGCCTATCAGACTGGCACAATCGCCAACACACAGAGGAATCTGCAAGGGGGCTTCAAAAGGTTCCTGGAGAAATGGAGTCAAAAGAGAATGGAATTGTCCCATGAACTCTTTGAAGCTCCTGTGCAGGTGCTGCCACACACATCCCTCCCACATAACACACAAGACAGACACTAGCGCAGAGACAACTAGGGACGTGCAGGGAGCAAGCGTGGCAATGGAACTCAACCGAGCTGTTTGGCTTCTTTCAGACTGGAGCACATACCTGGGTCTAGACTCGGGCATAGAT